GTAGTTGACGTGTAATCAATCAAAAATGCTTTGGATCAAAGTGTTTGAGTGTCAACATGGTTTCTACTCACTTATGATTTTCATGATTACTATTATTACTATACATACTGTGATTGATTTCTTCATTCAAAGACTTTACTTCAGCTATTCATTTTTGCATTTCCCCACCCAAGTTTCTGTACCGATGCGCGTGGTGGAGGAGCATCTTGTCGAGTCAGGGGAAGGACTCGGCAGGAAGGTGCCGGCCACAGAGTCCACAGAAAGTACAGATGGACATCGATTGAGTTTTGCCTCGCATTGGGAAGGACCGGAATGTGGCTCGAAAGTCAAATACTCCAGCTCACGGTGGTATTTATCGTCAGCGTGATCCCACCAACTGCTACATGAGGTGCTCTGGCTGAGAAAAAAAAAACACAAAACAAAACAAGAATAACATTTAATCAGATGAATCTCATGTCATGTCTTCAATGATAGTAAACAAGAGCAGAGAGATGTACTGTGTTGGCCTTACGTGTTTGAGAATGTTGAGGTGGTCGTAGGCGAGTCCCGACCGCTGTCCGAGTTGTTTTTGGTGAAATGCAAAGTGTCCTCTGTTGCTTCTTCTATTGACATCAGAAGATTCTCCTCTGAAAGACAAAAACACACGGGAAACTATAGTTGAAGCCTTTTGTGCGGAGTGAAATTGATTTACTTTTGTTACAACCTTGGATGAATATTTTCTTACCGGACAGAGTCAAAAAGTTTTTCATATTGTGGTTGTGAGCCAGCAGTGGTTTGGCAGTATCTTGCTCCTGCGCAGGGGAGTGATAGTCCACAATGTCTTTTTGGAGGGGATGGAGAAAGGCAGCAGGTGGGTCAGAGGAGGCGCGTGGGGTCAGGTGAAGCTGCATGCGAGCTTTTTTCCTCCTCAGTTGGCGTGTAGCGCACAAAGCAAGCGAGGCATCGCAGAGCTCGAGGTCTTCAGACTCTTTGAGCAGGCTGTCGCACGATGCCCAGGAAGTCGCAGTCGCTTCCTGGCATATGTCATCGGTCTGGGGCACCAAACCAGAAGCAGCCCAGAAGTCGAGGATGCTGGAGTCAAAACCTTTGCTCTCCAATAACTTGCAAAAAAAAAAAAAAATCATTCAAGAATAGGCGATCATGAATAAGACCTGGTGCTGAAGAGCAGCAGGAAAAGTATTTGTGTGTATACTCACGGATGAGGGACTATCTTGGAGTCTGCTGGAGGGTCCAGACAACGATAAAAAAGATGGCCCTGAAAGTTCTGTTTGGCCGAGGTAGACATCCATCTCCACAGAATAACAAACCGGTGAAGGAACTGACGTGTCCACGATAACCTGCATTACAAACGCACATTCAATGCTAAATGAAGACTCGATAACACAGTGACATCCGGTCAGGGTAGGCAAGTGAGGCAGTGCCACCCCATGCTGTCCCTTCTCCTGCAAGTGGAATTTTTTTTTTTTTTTTAAAAAAGATCTTATGATTATATTAAATGATATTCCATTGTAGTTCTATGGTCTGTGCTTTACATTGATTTTCTCTTTCAATAATTAGCTGAGTGTGTATATTTCCTGTGCCTCCAGTGACAATTGCTGGACTTGGGCAGTTGGCGTGAGCACTCACACAAGAGGCGTTGCTGTTCTTTTTTCAATATCGTGTTTAAGGACATTCAACAGTTGTCCTTAAACACGATAACTGTTGAATGTCCACGATATGGACATTCAACAGTTTGTTGAATGTATTGAATAAATGTGTGGGACAGATACGGTCACTCTCACGGTCAGAAAAGCATCTGAAAATAGGGGCTCGAGTCAAGAGGGTTGCCGCTGCCAGCACGTGCCGGCGTTTTGATCCATTGGCGAAATGGAAGAAGCCCATAGACTAGAGCATGATGTCAAAGTCAAGGCCCGGGGGCCAGATCTGGCCCGCCACGTCATTTTATTTGGCCCGCAAAAGCAAATCAAGCATGTTATGTTTGACGATGCTTGCTCAACAAATTAGTTGCTGAAGACGAGCTGGACAATGTTCCCTTACCTGACTGTGGCATTTTCTAAACAAAAAGCAGATCAAACACTGGAGAGGAAAGAGCAGCACTGCAACAACCATCCCCACAGCGACAGTTTCCATACTGAAAAGCAGTTTGGCTGACACTGGTCCACTTGTAGAAACACATCAAATGCAAATTATTTTAATGCTGTTATTGCATCCATTTCACTGCCTTGATGGTCATTCGGTTCTTACTTGTGTCCCTGGGTACCCACGGCCCCATACCACAGAGCACCCGACGCCAGATAGAGATGGAGCATGAGAGCGCTGCAGGTAACCCTCTGAGCTCGAGTAAAAACACTGTGGATGGGGCGTTCCCATAGCGACAACCACAGGTGGTGCTCCACCATTCCAAAAATCAACTGGGAGGATAGGATTCGTCGAAATTGGGAAAGCTCTTCCGGACCTGGGAAGAAAGAGTCAAACGTTTTCGGAGTTGACTTGAGGTTATTCTTTTGCTAGCTGGAAGTCAAGTAATCTTACATGAGGCCAGGATTTCTTTCTCCACTGTACCATTCTTTGGATTTTCCACAGAGAGCCAGTCATCCACCAGGAAGAAAAACATATGGTCTGTCACAGGGTCCCACACGACCACGTGCTGAACATACCAGGATGGATCCAACCCTACATGGACAGTCAAATGGAGCGATGTGCAACTCCAATGATGAAGGGGGCCGCAATTTTTCACGAGTGCTACTGGGGGACGCATAGCATGCACTTCTTAAAAACAGATTTATGACAACATATTTGAAACGTGGACAAAATACATGTGGCATATATATTTGGGCTAAATACATGCTCATAATATAAACAGGCCAGCATTCAGAAAGAAGACACGTTGGACCTTTCCGCTCTCCCCACGTACCTGTGTTGTCATGCCAGATCCGAATTTTCCAAACTTCCCCCAAGCTGACGTCTGTTTCTAAATGAAACTGGTCGAGGCTGCCACGTTGAAAAGCTCCAACCCTTTGCAGATGACGAGAGCCGCTCTTGTTGACTCCATACAGACTGATGCCAACATGTGCTGTGGTGCCTGATGGGATAACGTTCAGCATTTGCTATGAAACGTGTTATTTTTTATTGCCACTTTTGCTGACCTGCTCCATGCCTCCAACCGGTCTTAACCAGCACCCTGTAGTGGTACAGTCCTCCCCGACCGCAAAGGGGCACTTGGCTCAGCCTCAGGCCGTCCAGGTGGTCCAATTTATGGGCAATGAGTCCCACCAGCAGGTGAGTCAGGATCAGGACAGCGCATACAATTGCCACCATCACATTAAGACTGGGATCAGCTGCCTGGAAAGACATGGAGCATAATTCCAAAGGGGAGATATTTACCGGGTGACTTCCGCTTGTCACTACTCATGTGTGCTGAATTAGGCCACATACAGGCGGCAGGAGCACAACTGCCCCGGGGTGAAGAAACAAACTGGCCCCAAACATGGTGAGGTGGTGCGTCAGACAATGCACCGTTTGGAGTGTGGTGCCCTCCAATGGTTTGAGACCCTCACTACTCCAAGTCCTCTCCTTGATGCTGTAGTACTGACAAAGAGAGCTGAAGACACATAACGACACGGCAACAGGACCGCCCTGGACCTCGAATGAAGTCAGGCTGAGAGACAGAGTCTTTAAAAAAAAAAAAAAATCATTCAAGAATAGGCGATCATGAATAAGACCTGGTGCTGAAGAGCAGCAGGAAAAGTATTTGTGTGTATACTCACGGATGAGGGACTATCTTGGAGTCTGCTGGAGGGTCCAGACAACGATAAAAAAGATGGCCCTGAAAGTTCTGTTTGGCCGAGGTAAAAAAAAAAATGGAATGACATCAATTAAAATAATGCATGACGTTGAGAATCAAAGTGTACTCACAGCGGAGAAAGAAATATCGTTTTCTCCGTGAACGTGTGGCGAGCCGAAAGATTGACGATCCACTCTTTCGTGAAGGAATCCTGAGATCCGCTTGTCATTTTTATCTTAACGTAGCCCGCGGTCTCTGAAGTAACTCCTAGAGAAGCGTCATGTATTTAACACCTCATAATTAAAACACTCAGATGTGTTAGATAGAAATGGCAAATTCCGCGGGAATGATGTGAAATGCCATAATGGAATTGAAATGTCAAAGAAAGATATTATTATTTACCTGGTAACAGGCTGAAGTTGAAAGAGATATATAAACCTGTATTTTCATCCAGGCCGCCCACAGTTCTTATTGTAAAATTCTGACATCGCTCGAGCGGAAGCGGAACAGTGGCACATGTCCCATTCGTATGTCCATCCACTCTCCCATCCCCACGTGCGTCACGTTTCCCCGCTGGGAACTTGCTCTGCAGGGTGACTCGAATAGCCTGGTCAGGCTCGAGATCCTGGACGGGTATGGGCTCGCCCTGCGGGGTGGTGATCTCCATGGCAACCAGACTGGTCGAGATCGGAGGGTCGGCTGCAGCCAGCAAAGCGTTCGACTCATCCAGACCGAAAATCACCTGCGCCAGTTCTGAGCGCTGACTCTTAAGGTGAGTGGTGAGTGAGGACGGGATTTGAAATGGACATGGCGGAGTTGATAACTGGGAAGGAATTGTGTGCTTCGAGCACAGAAGGTTGGAGGGGTCGCCATAGAAACCAGCTGTACTGATATGAGGCGTGACGAATGAAAGGGGCACCTCGCCAGGACCGGGTGAATGCATCAGGGAGCGCATTAACGCCCCTGCCTGGCTAATTGCTGACAAGGTGATGACCGACGCGGCCTGCAGAGTTCTGGAGTAGTTGTGCTGAGAATTTGAGGCAAAGGTTGATAATGATGCAGATGCCAGAGAGCTACCTGTCAACAAAAACATGCAAATTGAGATAAGAATTTGCAAAGTTAATACAGATGATTTGGTTTTTTTTTTTTTTTTGGAACTCCATCATTCATTGAAAAACTCATCTATTTGCTGTTTTTGTGCAATAAAAGAATGACTTTGACAACATTTAGTGGCATCTTGGTGACAAGAAATTCTGATTTAGTGAGTTGAGGAGCTCTCGCTCACTGTTCGGTCATTTTGTATTCATGATGATTGTGAAATGGATGCTCATATTTCCTGGCACTATTTAATAAAATAATTTGATTAAAGTAGGACATACTCATGTGTAAATGTCATTACAAGAATTCACATTCGTTTGAATAAGGAGTGTTCAGATGAAGGCTTTTATGCTGCAGATTCCATCGGTGAGATCTGCTTAAATGACGACACATCACGTTCATCATTGTGTTTGTATCCAAAATGTGGAGTTCAGTTCTTAAAAAATAAAACTAAAAAATTCCAACAGTTCTGATCAGCTACATTTTCTAGAAATTTGGGAGGAATGGAGAATGAGTGAACGTTGCGGCCTTTGCAACCTTACCTACAATGCGAAGGATATTCTTCCCCGTGTCAAACACTGAAACTCCACCGGCAGGACTTTTGTGTTCCTCCATGACATGAATCATCTTCCCAATTGCTTCGAGAACCTTCTCCTGACAGTCCACGCAGATTAACTCAGCAGGAACAGCCTGGGGAATAAAAAGCATGGTTACAAACGCTGGTGTATTGTCCTGGACCTGGTGAATGATTCTCAACCGTGACTATTTATTTATTTTTTTTCATAGGTTTGAATGAATGATGGGATGGAGAGAGAAAAGTACATTCGTACAGTGGACTGGACTAAAGCTGAGCTGATTTGGTCAACATCCATCATGGAGGAAACGGGGAGGGAGAGCAAAGCTTTGGTAACATTTTCTCTTATCTCCTTCTTCATGTTGAGCTCACTGGTACTTTGTCCAGACGCCATCTGTTGGATGAAAGGGTGAAAAAAAAGTGATGAAATTGGAAGCAAAAGTAAAGCTTTTGGCTGGTGTCTTTTTTTTTTTTACTTCAATCTTGCTTTGGGAGATCAAGGTATAAATGAACATCATAATGTGATGGGAAATTAGCCATGCATGTACTGAAGAAACGCAATAGAACAATGACATTAATTCTTTTTATTTTTGTTGTGGACTGACGACACACTAAGACACAGCTTTGGTTTGAATCCAGCCATTTTTTTTTTTTTTGTCGGCAAGAGTATGAGACAGTCACATAACTAATATATAGGTAACGTGACTGCGAATTTTTGTTTTGTTTTGTTTTTTGCCCAGCCATGTCCGATTAATAACTAAATGACTAAATAAATCCTACTTAGTTTCTTGGTTTTAGATTTATGAAACGTGCTACACCAAGAAAGGTTTGATTGACTGACTGATTGATTGATTGATTATCTATGGAACTAAACTACGCCCCCAGCCACTAAAAAGAGCGGAATATTCTGTCCATCCATGCCTGCGATCTATCTGGTCTTGGGTATTACCTGATTGAGCTGGCTCGTGAGCGCAATGGAATATGGGATGATTTCCTGAGGGTTGCCATGTTGGACAAAGGCCCACATGTCTTTCTGGCTCTTTGTTCGAAGCCACTCAGTGACATTTCGATGACTCTGGACACTCAGAGTTCTGAAAAGTAAAGGGATGTTTGCCAATACAGAGAAAACGTGGATGTAACTCATAATTGTTGTGGATTACCTGTTTAGAGCAACGACACTTGACCCAAGATTGTCCTCGATGATCAAAATCACTGTGATAAGTGATTTGCTTTGTCCCGGCACAGGAATGCCCACCGGAACGAGGCTGCCAAAAGTTGATCGAGTACCCCTTGGGAAAGAAATAATCCATCTTCACATACTGTACAGACTACTGAAAAGTTATATTTGGATAAGTGAGAGATAAAACGGATGGATGGTAATTTTCAGTTTTGAGGTTCGGCTTACTTGTACAGCGTGAGAAGAGGGCACATGATGGGATGGCACAGTGCAACCTGAAAGGTATAGATGAGCCCGGAGGAGATGCTTTCGTCATCGCTCCACCCTGCCGTAAAACAGAACATAAAAGTACATACGAAACGAAAGCGTAATGCATAACGCAGACTTGGCAGTGTGGCGTGGTGCAGTGCGCGAATACCCGTGCAGTTGAAGGTGACTACAGTCCCCAACGGATGGACGTGGGACTCTGGGTGCAATTCGCACCGACCTCCATCAGGGGGCTTGTGAGGTACAACCGACTGACTGGCACTGCCCCACCTCCCACTGCCGGGGAGAGTCACATTGAGAGTGAAGGTATACGTGTGACCCGACAGCAGCGCATCGGAAGGCAACATCAATTTCGGCGAGTGTCTTCCTGCAGAGGGGGCAGCCTTGTCGAGGTCGAATGTCGCGCCTGTCTCATCCTCGACGCTCCAACTGTACTGTGATGACAGTTGCAAAGCACGGCGTATCCAATTAATTTCAAAACCTAATGACAGAATTTAGCTGCAAGTTAATTTCTCGGGAGGAATCAGCCTCTCCACACTTGTTGAAAAACAACATGGAGAGATTATGTCCTCCCTTTGAGGTTACACTGAATTCCAAATACTCTCACTTCCCAATTGATATGCTCAAATAAGTGGAACCCATACCTGAGCATGGTCATCACACTCTCCACAATGCCCAGACAGGATGATGCAGGCGTGGCCTGGACAGGATACCCACTCCACAAACACAGGAAGTTGTAGTGGTTCACACACAATTACCTCAACAGAGGGTAGACATAAAAAAAAAAAAAAAATGAAGGCATAGCTAGGGGCTACGTCAGTGAAAAGCCATGATAGTCAAAACTCACTGTCTGCGTGAAGGATGCCGGCGTCTTTCCCATCTTATTTATGATTAGGGTGAATGCATAAATGGTGTCAGGATGTAACTGTTTGCTGGGTACCGTCACAATTCTACCGTCGCTCTCAATAGGAACTGTGGACTTCTGTGAATTCAAATATAGTGAGTGAAATTAGTCAAAGCAGAGTTCCGTAGGTTCCAATATCCAACTTAGAATGATACAACGTATGCTTCGATCAAGAGGCAACCCACCTCTACGGTGACAGTCCAGCGATACTGGAATGCATCCTCTCCATCTTGGTCTGCGTCAGGGTCTTGAGATCCACTACCATCCAGAACGAGGTCAAGGGTGCTTGGCCACAGTCTACGTGAACCTCCCTTGATGACGGCCACCAACGGGGAGCTCACCACGGTGACTTTAGTTTTTTGACGCACGAGCAGAGGGGTCCCTTGGAATGAAAGGGTGAATAAAAGGCAATACTGTCCCACATCGAGAGAACGCTTTGGGAGATGGAGAAAAGGTGACGTTGTACCATTGAGAGGGACTCGTTTCCCAGTGAGGTCCAGATTCTCATCGGTACAATCGGACGCTCGAAATATCTCCCACTGGTATGTTGCCTTGTAGGCAGAGCAGTTAATCGCCACGTTGGCTTCAAAGAAACTCACTCTAGATCTGAAGATAGTTGGCCGGTTCTGGATAAGTGACGCTTGAGGGCTGGAGCAAAGCAACGCCACCACGTCTATGCGCAGTTGCGCAGACGTGTGGCTGACACCATTGGAGACGTTGACCAGAACAACGTAAACCCCAGCGTTGCCAAAAGTATGATTGACTGTACTGAGATGCGAGGGCCAGTCTTTGACGGAGTTCCCAAATGACCACGCGTATCTCAGGTTGCTCCCTCCGTTAATTTTAGCAGAAAATAGCACAACATGTCCAGCAAATACGGGTTCTGAGTGGCAAAGGAGGTGGACTTCCTTCACGGGCCATTCAACTGTCAGAGTTTTGTTTAGCATCTTGGAGCAGACGCCATTGCTTGCGAGCACGGTCAGTGACAGCGAGCCATTGATTGACGGGGTAAAGATGACCTCTTTTCCTTTGAACCACATAGGTTCAGTATCTTCCAAGTGAAATATCCAGGTGTAGTTAACCGAAAACTCATTTTCATCATCCACCTCAAAATGAACCTCCTTCAGAGCCTCGATGGCGTGTTGGCCAGGGGTTAAGAGTCGCACGGGTGTTACATTCTCGAAGATCTGAACTTGGGTTGACGTCTGTGCGCTGCTCACCTGATTCCAAGCTGTCAGTTGAACAACATGTGTCCCTGCTGGAAGGTTCGATGTGGTGAACAATCCCTCCATCACATCCTGACGATGCTTCCAGTCTTTAGTTTCAAACATCAAAATGAAGCTTGCATTGCTTCCTCTCCGGATTGCTGGGATGAAAGTAACTTCCTCCCGAGTACAAAGAGCATCCCTGCTAACGTTGAGGGTGAGGCCTTCGATTCGATCCTGGACGATGACACGGTGCGTAACTTCCTGCCAGTTAATTGCATTGGAGACATTCAAGGACACTCCGTAGATGCCTTCGTGGAGAAAAGTGTAGGTAAACGCGGGGTTGCTTTCCGAAAAAATGGCGGTTGTGGCGTGGCTAACTTTCCAGTCCCAGTGTAGATGACTACCTTGGCGGACAACTCCTCGGAATGGCACAGCGGTATTTGTGCTTAGATGAAACGGAAACATCTTGCCACCGATTTGAAAGCTCGCCTCTTTTACTTCCTCTTGGACTGTAAAGATTTTAGTGTCACCGCATTGACTGATTGTGTTCTGAACGAGAACTTTAACCAAACAATCCCCTGAGCTTGTGAACTTGTGACGAAAAAAAGGGGAGTCCGTCTCAAGGAGCGCAAGATCAGAATCCACATACCAAAAGTACCTCAGGTCAGAACCCGTAAGGACTGATACCGAAATATGTAAAAACTTCCCCACTGCCACGATATTTGTCTGCGCTGTTATGCGTGCATTTGTTACCCGTTCCACAGCCACAAAAGAAGCAACGCCGGTGCTCTCGCCCAACATGTTTGAGGCATTTAATTGAATCGTAAGCCGACCGGGGGTTTCGACGACCAACTGAAAACGTTCTCCATCAGCTGGAATCTGATGCTTGATTGTTTTTGGGGTAGCGAGCCACTTATATGTGACATTGGAGCCTTTTGTGACGGAAGCGACAAACACCACGTCCTCATGGGTCGGTAAGTATGTCATATTGGCCAATGCAGGACAATGCATGTGAAGACCTTCGATTCTCTCGAAGACTTCAACTAAAATCACAGCTTCCCTTCTGCTCACCAAGTTTCGGGCGATACTTCTCACTTGGTACTGTCCTGCTTCGGGAAAAACAAATCGAAACTCTCGAGTTCCCTCTTGTGTTGGAACCAAACCATCCACTGTCCAATAGTAGGTGGCGGTCCACTCGTCGCTGCTAACTGCTGTGATAAAAGTTTCTTCTCCGACCACGCTGAACGGCTGCTTGGTTTGAAGACTGAAGTCAGAAACAGGACGCAAGACGTTCACCTTGAGACTCACAGACTCCCGACTAATTGCGTTAAACGCGGTGGCGGTGGCTGTAAATTCCCCCGTCGCCGTAAAGACGTGCGACACATTTTGTTGCTGCTCTGTCGGGGAACCATCTCCAAAATCCCAAAACACAGACACATTGCTGCCAGTGCAGCTAGCAACCCAAAATGATGCTGAGGTATTGACAGTCACGGTCTCACTAGCATGCGCTAAAGAGAAATTGCTGACAGGTCTTTGAACGGCGATGCTAGCGCTGGCTGTTTTGCTGCTTACGTTGTTACTCGCCGTGACAAATACTTTTTGAATGCCCTCATCTCTGAAAGTAAAACATTGTTGACTATGTTCTGTCACGGCAGCTTGACTGGAAGAGCTACTGAGCCACTTAAATTGGCAAATCGTTGTCTGCTCTGGAGAAAATAACACGCTGAAACATATTTCATCTCCCGCGGCGGCTGCATCTTGAGACGGACGCACTGACATGTCGGTTATTGCCGTTTGAACACAGACGGTGCTATTGTAGGACGCGGTGCTAAGAGAGCTTTTCACAGTTAAGCTAACACGGAAAAGCCCTGGGCTGGAAAATGTGTGCGTCGCTGCCGATCGCCCTGTCACCACAGTCGCACGAGTTCCCTCACCAAACAGCCAATGGAAAACCAGCCCGGATACGTTTCCATTCAGCAAGGCCGAAAACTCTGTGTTTCGACCCGTCATGACACACTCAGTCGGCGTCACTCCTATAACAGCTAACCTATAGACAACCACGCTGATCGATTGGTGAGCTTCGCCCACTGAATTCGAGACATTGATCCTCACTGTGTAGTTGCCTTGAAACTTGTAGATTTGGGAAACCGAGCCATCAGCCAGGTTTCCCTGCTTGGATCCATCACCAAAGTCAAAGTCCCAAATAAGCCTCGTACCAGTTGCAACGGTAGCTCTGCAATCTGTAACGGAGCCCAACTCACTGGGTCCGTTGCAACTGACACTCAGTCCAGTTATTTTCTCCAAAACGTCCGCCACGAGCCAGATGGTAAGCATAGAAATAGTGTTGTTGGCACACAATGTGATGTTGTACTCTCCCGCAGATGTAAAGGTGTGCTCAACTTTTGGGTCAGAACGTTGGACGGCTTTGGATTTGTCACCAAAATTCCAAGTATAGATGACATTGTCCACGACGGGATCGGTGAAGGCTTCCAGGAGATACATTTCATTGACAACAGCCACCAGAGCGGAGGAGTTAAGGAAAAGGCGTTTTAACAGAGGACGGACGCTAATCTTGATCGACTTGTCTACTTCTTCATACTGGGTGGAAACTCCCACATGAAGGTCGTAGTTCCCTACAATCGTGAAAACCGGATACGTTTCAATTAGCTTGATTCAATAAAAACGGCAAACTCACAGGGGAGATGATGAAACATTTTGTTATTTGTGTCATATAGAACAACAGCACAAAAAATAGAAGTAAATATAAGGTATTAATAGACAGGAGTGTTTACCTGGTGCAGTGTAGGTGAAGTTCACAGAGTGCCGCACAAAGACTTGTGTCTCTCCTTTTTCTGCAAGCACCTCCATAGTGTCGCATGGAGCAGGCACGGTGTGAAGAACGCTGCTGCTCCCATCGCCAAAATCCCATCTACATGACAGACATACATCAACTCGTGTAGGAAGTGATATTAAGTGCAAAATTATTTTGGAAGGTAGCCTCTTCACTCGGTATTTTTGTTTGGTCTCAAGTGGCATATTTGGAAACAGTTGCAGCCAGTGCAGTCATGTGGAGGGTATCCTAAATGGGGGTGTGGGGAGGGCATTAATTGGACATCGGCATTAAATCCAAATTAGGGACTTGGACCTGCCGTATAAATCCAGCTTTAGAATCTCCAACTCTCCATACCCCTCAAAATCACAAGTAAAAATAAAAAAAGCGTGAATAGATTCAAAATTAAAACCGTGACTTAGAATCTACACATCAGCATCGGTACAGGACTCTCCAGCATATACATTACTGATTTTGTTGGACTAACACGTCTCAAAGTGATGTATCCTTCCTTCTTTGCCAAGTAACATTGTCCTTGCAAAATCATTTTTTTTCTTACAACACTTGTACTGGATCAGTTTAGATTGCAGGTCCAGCGTGTGCCCAGTGTGCGGACATATGAGAAGCATATTTTACCTGAAGGTCGTTGGCAAGGCGATGTCCACTTTGACCCTGAGGGTAAAAAGGTGTGCGGCACCCACGGCAACCACCCGCCTGACGTACATGAACTCAGGCTCGCCCAGTGGCTTCATTTCATCCGCAGTCAGGAGGAGCTGCACGCTCTGGGAGCTCACGGGGTTGGACGCCGTTACCTGTTATTGCAATAAATGATGTTGAAAAAGTACAATGACAACCCTTTCAAAGGTATCTTACCTTGAGTTTATACTCGGCAGGTTTCTTGAACACCACACTATAAGATTCTCCTTCATCAGCAAACGCCTCCAAGTTGTCAATCACCCACGAGAATGTCACAGACGAGCCACTCGCCACTTGGGCGGTAAAGGACTGCGAGCACAATGTGAGAAAACGCAAAGGCATCGGTTTGCAAAAATTCTTGAAAAGCGGGCGACGTGCTTTTGTAGTCCAACCTGAGGAATGTCAACAAGCGTCCTTTGGTGTCTGCCTGGCTCCACGCTGAGTCCCGACACTGCCTCGTAGCTACGCAGCGTCACGGTCAAAGTCTGAGACCGAATTGCATCTGCCACACTGATATTCAGCATCTGGACCCCGACTGAAGGTGAGACCAGAGTCACGGACGAGAACCACACATCCTCCGAACATGTCTTGCAGACGGGCAGATCTTCGGGGCAAGACCGGCCGAAGGGGAGTCCAGTCCGGAGCACCGGAGCCGACCATGAACATGTGACTTTCTCTCCTGATAGTACCGTGACAACAATGAGTGTTGCAACATTGAGTGCAAGGTGGATCTGGTTCTTTTCATCCAGTGGAGGATGGATGATCCTCAGCCCAAATGTAGATTTCACGTGACGAGTCAGGGACTTCGCGTCAGAGGCTGTGGTCATTTCCAACATCCGCCGTTGCTCAGTTCTTGCTCCATTAAGAGTGTCTTCATAAAGCAATCTGAGATCACACACCACGCCATCCACCCAGTGTTCGCCTTGGGGCCTGAAAGTGAGGCCTCCCTGCCACCAGCCACCCCACTTTGTCCCCAAGAGAGACAGGTAACTCTGTCGCCACGGGGAATTAAGGGGAGCTTCGCTGGCGAGGCAGCGCAGAAAGGCTCCGCGGTCGCGGGTGTGTTGAACGGCAACAATATCGTCGGGGTACACATTGACGGCTCCTTCCGGAAGAACAACCTACAGTGATATCCAATATGTAAGACTGTGTCTTTATTAATTTAAAAAAAATGTAAAATTGCCGGAAACCAATCAGTATGCTATCAGACGGTAAATTATTTTGTAGGGTGAAACTTTGGAATGTATGTACACATGTCCAAAAACTTTTCAGGATGACGGTTAAATCGGTGGGTTTATCGTGTGCATTCAAGGGGATGTTTGCCTGGTTAAGGTCATCAATACATTTTGCATGAACATTAATGAGTGAAAATCTCATTTAGACAGCACACGTTCGCTACTCACACTTAACGTTTGCAGTCGTGTGACGGGGCTTATTTTCAGCGGTACGTCCGCTACCAAGTGATAAAAAGGTGCGGTCGCTGCATATCTGGGTGGCAACGCAAACCCACGTTCCACTGCCGCTGAGGTGTAGGGCGAACAGGGGCGATCGTTGGCAAGGCAGGTTTCGAGAATATGACACCAGTATTGGCCCGTGCCGCACCCTCCTGTCGTGTTGCACAGTGGAACCGTTGAGCAGCAGCTGAATGGATTCATCAGAGAGCTGCAACCTAACGGAGCAAAGAGAGTATATTGCTCTTAGGATGTGTTACATTGACAGAAATCAGGATGAACTGTATTTTACCCGGAGGTACAAGGTGGTAGTTGGGGTTACAGTAGGGTCGAAGGATTTGAATGCGGGCCGAAGAGGAAGTTGAACTGGGCTGGACCACCAGTTCCAGTGATGTCACTTGACCGGCATGACTGAACCACAAACCAGGGAACAGCTGCATCTGTGGACCACAAACAGTCACGGTCACACTCCAGGCCGTCAAAAATTGATCTTTTAAAACCTTTTTGGACAAGTACTAGTTTCAGGATACTGAAACCGTCAAATATTTGACCATCCCGAGTTATTTTTTTAAAATACAATTTTGAGCTCTCCAAAGAGGACCTCACAAAATAAGAACGTCATTGCATACGTCAAATGCAATCTTGTGGCATTTTGGTGCCACGGAACTATGTTGAACTGAGTTTTGGAATTTCATTTAGACCCCCCCCCCCTCCAAAAAAAAAGTGCTTTGACACCATCTTGTGGCGTGTTTTGGTAGTTGGAGAACATTTTCTTTGTTGTCTTCATTCATATTCTCTCCATTGAACCATGACTCTGTGTTCCAGAGTCATAAAACACAATTGGGGGTGCCATCTTCTTAACCCTTTCAGGGTCAGCGGTTACTACAGTCGACAGCTTATCATGTTATGAGGCTACAGGGTGCATGAAAGGGTTCTTCTGGTGCCTGCTGTGCCCCTAGTGCAGACATTCCACCTGGACATTTTACTGACCTCCACTGCAAGTTGTTCAACATCAGGGACAGTAGCTAAAGGAGCGATCTGGATCCGCTGGTAGACGCCAGTCATTAGAACAACTCCCACAACGTAACTCTCCAGTTCTGGTAAACACTCTGGGGCGTATTAAAAAAAATAGCAAGTACAGGATGGAAATATTCGAAAATTGTGTTCCAATTATGGACTGTCATACTCAAGCTTCAAATCTTACCAGTTAAGTCATTTTGACAAAAGAAGTGGTATTGTTTAGCACAGGGGGTCGTCCTCCACTGTCCAGGCATCCCCAAAGCCATCTGAGTGCATACTTCATGTTGGTCCCTGCCTCCATTGCGCCATGGAGGACTGGTTGACTCCACAAACCCGGCCTTGTCTGGTATATCTTCACTCACTCCCCGAATCCAAACCCACACCGTGTTTTTTCTGGACAAAGAAAATGCATGTCTTAGCAAGGAGTTTTGCAAAAGTGTGATGACACATATTGCATCACACATATGTATTGCACATGTCGCTTTCAAGGTTTTCACTCGATGGCTAAAAATTTGCTTTGGCCTTTTCTCAATGGCCAAAAAAATACAAAAATTCATTGGAGGAAAAAAAAAACTAATTGGGGAAACAATGTTGGACGAAAAATGTGTTCGGTCTTCACTCCAAAATTCAAATTGGTGTATTTTGAGATTGCACCCTGAATCCATTTGATCTCAAATGGAATGATACAAAGAAACACTTTTTAAGTTCGTTGTCGACTCACACTGGGAAGAAGTGGTGGAGGAAGCTTTGCAGCTCCAAAGTGTCGGCAACTGCCACACATCCTCCGCGAGTCCGCTGACAGGAAGCCAAAGCCTCAGACCACGTGGACGTCTTCTCAGAGAGCCAGAAGCATCGCAGGCTGGGCAGGTGGACGTGAGCACCTTCGGGACAGGAACTGACTTGTGCGGGGGGGCCTTCAGATTCACACGCAAAAAAAAAAAAAAAAAAAAGGAACGATTGAGCACACGCGTCATCAACTATTCAAAACGATTGTATCCTCATGCAGTCATGTGCAATGATTATTTCAATGTCAATTCAGTATTCAGGGCTCTAAATACTTGGGCGTCTTATTTCTGAAATGAACAGAATGTAGCAAAAACGGAATGACAGTGCTTAGGAAATAACTGTGTCATCGAGAAAGAGCCAAACACTGAATGTAATTAATTCTATTTGTGTATTAACATCAGAGTGCAATGCAGCTGCTCATCCATGTTGAAAGCTGATGCCGATCCCAACTTATTGGGTGAAAGGCAGACGACACACCCGGGGCTGGTCCCCACTCGCTAATACCTGCCCAATGACATAAACAGAGCTTTTAAAAATAGCCGCCGCAATTTAAGTTCAACAACAAACTTCTCACCTCCTGATGTGCTGATCAAAAGCATGAAAATAATCTCCCACGCCTGCTTCTGTGGAGTCGGTATGACTCTCATCTTGCTCGATATGAGGCGCAAAAGAAGCAGCTCCGAATACCTCGACTTCCCTTACATCTTCAGTGCAGTTTTAGAGGAAAAAAGTAACAAGTCTACCCAATTATCTTGCTTCGCACTCTCCCCCATCTTGAACCTGATGTTTCTTTACCCCCTCACAATTATGTCCTGTGTCGTCCCACAGTCATTTGTGTTGATGTGTCTGTTCAAAAAGCCTCTTCACAGCGCTTGGGTGACATTTTACTTTGTCTCCCAGCAACAGCCATAGAAAGAAGCAGACTGGACAGAGGAGGCCCACACGGCTCATTAGACAGTTGTAAAGGAATGGACAGACACAACGTCGCACAAGGCACAAAGGGGGGGGGGGCACGTTTGTACCCAAAAAAATAAAAAATAAAATCTCTCTCTCTCTCTCTCTCTCTCTCTCTCTATATATATATACACACACACACACACACACACACACACACACACACACACACACACACACACACACACAACCTCATCACTAACCAAAGTGTGCCGTACATACAAAAAAAAGGCCTGTTTTTTTTTTTAAATGAAAGGATGCCATTGCTGTTGCCTGGAGAGAGAGAGAGGGCATAAAGTTGAAGGGGGTGAGAAAGCAAACCTGACCTGGAAAGTTTCAGTCCATCGCCATGGAAACAATTGTGTTTTTGTTCTGATGGATCTGATTGAGATCTTATCGTTGTTATCAACCTTAATATCTCAAGTAACAGTTCTTGGACACCACACTGTCAGATTGTTATTCATACGCAAACACTCCCATGCAGTCAATCAGTGGTGAAAATGTAACTGATGAGCCTATGGTATCACTTTCAATATATTAATGTCCACATATAGTATCACTTTAAATATATTAATGTCCAGATTTTTTTTAAAAAACAGTGTTAGACGTAATATTTTTAATTGTATGTACCGGTAATTTGTATTTTCTTTGGAATAATCGACAGAAATAAAGGTGTAATTCTACATGGAGACAGGAGGGGCAGTAATGTACACTTGTAACTGAATTCGAACGTCAAGGCAATCCCGACGAAAAGTAAACCAGGAAAAGTGGACGGCCTGTGGTGACACATCGCAGGTAAAACCTCGAAAAAAGTCGCTGCCTTTTCTGTTCAGTGATCACATGTCAAAAGCAAAGAGTAATTAATACACAGTAAGACGAGATTTTTTTGTGACAGCGGTTTTTTTTTTCCAAAAAATGAACGGAATGCACGATTCGTGGGTGGTAACTGTTTGTTTACATTTAGCCGCTAACGTTCGCTTTAGCTTAGGATCAATCGTCATTATTTCCGTGATCGTGAAGACTAATTAGAGAAGTAGATTTTGATGTAATTAATGTATGAGATTTCAATTAGCCGCTGTAGACAGAGTGACATTTACCGCGTTAGTAATTTAAAGTTTATTGTATTTAATCAGTTTCCTGATCGTCCACTATTATGAACGTGTTTTAATATTTAAAACGTCGACTTCTTTTAAAAGATGCAGTACATGTCAAATTCAAAATGTCACATACTATATAACTAAAATATCAATCAATCATACTTTAATGAACACCTCGCTGACATCAGAAATTTGGATTATTTTCACGACTCCAAGTGGTAGGTAGGTACCTTTCTGTGTTCCAGTTGACATCATCTTTGTGTGTCTTGCCAGTAGGTTCTATGCTGAAGTTGAGGACCACAGAAGAGGAAAGTAGTCGTGAGATCTCCCAGCTCCGCCAAGCAGCGTTGGAAAACAATGAAAGACTCCTGGATGAGATGCTGTGCCAGGAAATCTACAAGAAGGTCATCAACTATCGAGGGGGCTGGGGCATCGCAAGCACCCCTCTACACGCTGCGGTGTCCAAGGGCCATCTCAGCTGCCTGCAGGTCCTGCTGACCCACGGCGCCTTGGTGGACTGCGTGGACGTCAAAGCCCAGACGCCGCTTTTCGCCGCAGTGCGCGGAAAGTACCTAGACTGCGTTTTAGCGCTCCTCCGGTCCGGCGCAGACCCCAACGGAAGCGCCTACAACATTTGCTCCCCCGTCCTGACCGCCGCTCGTGACGGTGACGTCGAGATACTACAGGAACTGCTCAAACACGGCGCCGAGGCCAACTCGCGCTCCAGAGTCCTGCTGTGGACCTCAAGTGCCAGGGTGTCGAGCGGCCCGCTGTACCTGGCGGCCGTGTACGGACACATCGAGTGCTTCAAACTTCTGCTCCTCTATGGTGCCGATCCGGATTACAACTGCGCCTATGCCAGACTGCTGAGCACCATCAAGCAGCCCAAAACAGTCCTGGAGATGTGTCTGAGGCACGGTTGCGGTGTTGAGTATATCCAGCTCCTCATCGACTTTGGCGCCAATGTCTACCTTCCCACGCTCATCATCGAAAAGTCCACCAAGCAGAACGAGGCCGTGGAGCTGCTTCTGCAGGAAAGAGGTATCGCATATATCATATTGAGCGGACCTATGGGTTTTAATTATCCCACTGGCCGACAGCGGGTCGTCAGCCGTATTGTGGACTTTGCTTTTAGCTTTCCTCATACATTCTCCAAAATTGTAAGTTAGCTTCATTAAAGACTAAAACTTTTACTGTATATGTACATACCCAGCACTATTTTAACAACACTGAATTTAACAATGCTGAATTATTGAATGCGCTATGGGTCATTAAAAAAGATACTTACAGAAAGGAATTAACATGTTGCTTCGTCCTCTGTTCCACAGGAAATCCCAAGGCCTTGACTTCACTGTGCCGACTGGCGGTGCGGAGATACCTCAAAAAGATCAACAAGATGCACTGTATCGAGCAGTTGGACATGCCAACAAGTCTCATTAACTTCTTGCAGTACAAGCCGCTCCCAGTTATGATTCTCTAGCTACATGTTAAATCATGTTGGTGGGTTCTGAATTGTTAAGTGTCTTGTTTTTTTGACCTCGTTCTACTCATGCTTAGTGATCACAAGTCTAACACATTAAACATATCTATGCGTGGCTTTGTAGTTATTTATTCAGTTAGGCATCTCAAGTATGAGGTCTTTAGAGCCACAGTGAAAAGAAATTTACATTATGAAATTTAAGTGAGACTCACAGGATTTACAAGAATAAATACTACGTTTAAAAAGCTGTCTTGTTTTCATGGTGAAAGGTTGTATTGTCAAAATTTTAGTTATTTCTACAATAAAGACATTACTGGCTCTGCTCATTTGGTTTAATTACTTTGTCTGTGAAATATTACAGCTTTAATCTCGACAATGACTTAACTGAAAAAAGTACAACTTTATTCTAATCAAAGTGTGACAATACTTAAGATGCCCTTTTTTTTCCAAAATATATGCGACCCTTGTCAAAATTGATCTTGTATTGTCATTGTTTTTCTAATATTGCCCCTTTAATACGTCTTAGTACATAGAAGATATTTTTTTTACAACAGAGCTTTTCGATACGAAACCGATTAAATGGCCATTATTTTGGCAAAATGAAAAAAAAAACCCCAACTTCAAGTGTGACACAGAAATAATTTAAACCATTTACCGACAGTATCTTTATGTAAAAAAAGTAACCAAAAAAACCCCAAACATTTCAAGGATAAAATTACCTACCTCAGATAAACACAAAGCAACAAAAATGGTTACTGCGAATTTGCATATTTTAATGTGGGTGGTTGAGAGATTCATCGTAATGACGGCCTCTCTTACTACATTAAATAAATGAATCGTGTACGATAAATCAATATATCATTCGTGTTGTGACTGGTTACGTAGACTGAACTGTTTATTTAAATAAACAATTCACATGTACAGTAAATCGGCATCAACATTTTGTTTTTGACGGAACTGACCACTATGGCCAGCAGATGGCAGTAGAGCAACAGAAAAGAAGGCACGACTGTTTAATTGGGCTTGGCCAATTGTTTTCATCAGTTTCATGTCCGAACAAGTCACATTTAATAAATTTGCACATTGCGGCATACCATTAAACAATATATTTACAGCTTGCGTGAGGATTTAACTTCTTCCTTCAAGGAATAATGTGTAAAATATAAGACAAAGATCAAATTGTTCAAGTCCAATATATCCCAAAGTTCAAGTATTGCCACTATGAGGTACTCGCAAGAAAACTGGAAGCTCTAACTACAACGAAACGAAGTTGACAGTAATTTAACGTGTAAAATTGGACAACTTCGATTATCAAAGTCAATTGAAAATTGTGAAAAAGCGAGACTTTTAAATTATGCTTTTCCATCTGAAAATACATTTAGTTAGTTGCTGATGTATTTGGACAGCGGGTTTCTGAGGTTGCCTCGAGACACAACCATGCATACTACTTACAAACTATGGACATTTTATGCAAAATATCGACTGTTATTTTTGGGGACCTCCAGAATCTTTGAACTCAAAGTCACATAGTTGTGAATACGCAACTATGCATAATTCTTTAACACCCAGATAAAAAGCTTTGCAGTCAATGACTTCCTGAAGTCTGGAGACAACACCAAACATTATCGAACGAGATCATTCGCCAGCCACCTTCACTTGCAGTTTGATTGTGTTTTTGTCTCCCGTAAGCGAAAAGCATGGTCGGCTGGGTTGAGATCAAGTGCCCTATGTAACCATTGGGAAGTTTTTAGTTCCCATTTAAAAAAAATAAAAAAACAAACCTCGAGTTGCTTCAGTGAAATGTGATGGGATACTGACTGGGACTGCATATCCAAAGCATACCACATCATCGTGGTATGATGTGGACATTTATAGTTGCATGCGGAACAGACTCAGTGGGGTTTATTGATGATGTGGCTGTTGACAATTAATTGCGAGGAATATAGATCTACACCCTCTGTTCACACTGAGCCAATCGCAACTTGACAGGAAGATAAATGACCCGAAATATGCTGAGAAAGCAACTTGTATAAATAAATGTCTAAAAGCCAATGTGCTCGTTATATAATGGCAAAAATCAATTAAAAAATACTGTCCAAATGCTTCTGGACCTAACTGTACAGAAATGATGTTGGCGGGAAAAAAAAGTTTTTATCGCAGTGTCAATACTCATGCGGATAAAATTGTTGTTATGTCTTGAGAATGAAAGAAAAACCCAAAGTGAATCTGACAATAGTTATTATAATGTTTCAAAATGAAAAGTAAATACTGCAAATCGAGGCCACAATCTGGGAGGTTGGCTCCAGTGCCACGAATCTTAAATAACGGAATAATATATGCAACTATCGTCAACGGAACATCAAGCTGCCTACAGATGTCGAATGATACCTTTCGCTTTAATGTGCTTGTCTTTCTAATCTGCTGAGACAACGCCTTTGCTTCTTCTGGTCCGCGTTTAGTGTAGTACAGTACACGGCTTGTCACCAAACAGCACCGTGAATCCGCCTCACCCTTTCAAAAAGCCAAGCGACTGACGACAAGTTTGGAGACATCTGTGAAGCTAATTTGAGGACACACCGTGGATGAACAGGTCAAAATCGTCAACTTATTTTCCCCGAGTTTGGTTTTCAAAACAATTCCGTTGGACCACAACACGAAGGCAATTGCTGATTTTCACTGATGAATAAATGTTCTTTCTTTTGTCAGATTGAAGTTATTTCTTTCATTAACAGAGAGGGAACAACAATCTTGTCCACGTGCGTGCGTCGTCATTGCATAACATTGTGATTCAACAATGTGCAACGCAATCACAGTGACGTTAATTTGCTTGCATAAGATAACAGAACCTATCCTTCATATGCTGTACAGTAGATGTGACATTTAGGGTGATGTCACATGTTTTTATTGCTATGGCAACGGGTAGCACTGAGGGAAAATGGCCAACTAATTACAGTATTTACATCCCGACAAAAATGTGACTTGGTCCCCTTCTTTGACACTGAGGTCAGGTATGTTGTGGTAATGATGGCTATGGGGGCTGTTTGTTGGCGTGATGCCGGTCGCCATGGTGATTCAGCCTAGCCCCACGTCTAGTGACATCATTACGATAAAGCCCAAGATTGAGGTCCAGGAGGCCAGCTTCCCGTTCCCACTACGGACAACAAGAGTGGAAATGCCATATGAATCAGAATACCATGTTGAGGCTAGTAGGGCTGCGCTGACTTCCCCTTTAAATCCACATTTGATTACCAAAACCACCATCTTAAATCTCTTACCTGACTTGAGCCTCGGGTATGATGTCATCCACCACCACGTAAACCATCGCCCCGGCGGCGAACGCCAAGGCGTATGGCAGCAGAGGTTCGGCCAACACCACGGCGACGGCGCCCAGCATCCCAGCAATGGGTTCCACCATGCCGCTGAGCTGACCATACCTGAGATGGAGACCGGAAACAGGTGCAATGACTGAAAGCTCATGTCTGGCTCCGTTTTGAGTGTGCTCATGACTCCTGAAGAAGGTGTGTGTTTTTCACCAAAAGGCTGTCCACGTTGAGACGCCCGAGCCTCGAAGTGGCAAGCTTACTGCAAGGCCTTCTGGGAAATTCTGGATGCCGATACCAACAGCCAAATTCCTGCAGGCAATGGGAAAGTGGAGATAATCATTCATTCATGCATTTTCCGATCCGCTTATCCTCACAAGGGTCGGGTCGCGGGGGGTGCTGAGCCTATCCTCGCTGTCTTCGGGCAGTAGGCGAGGGACACCCTGAACCGCTTGCCAGCCAATCGCAGGGCACAGAGAGATGAACAACCATCCGCGTTCACACTCACACCTCGGGACAATTTGGAGTGTTACATTAACCTGCCATGCATGTTTTTGGAATGTGGGAGGAACCCGGAATACCCGGAGAAAACCCACACAGGCCCGGGGAGAACATGCAAACTCCACAGAGGGAGGCCGGAGCTGGAATTGAACCCAGTACATCTGGACTGTGAGGTCGACGCGTTAATCACTGGATCACCGGGCCGGAGATAGTCTAATCTACTATTCGATGCCATAGCAGTTTCTTTTGCAACCATGAGGCTACTAGACTGAACAAGCAGAGTACGTCATGGTCCAGAATGACGGGGTTAAAAGCTCGATTAAGAATTTTTTTTCTTCACTGTCGCAAACTACTCATAAATTATTTTTATATTTCGTACACGTATCTGTATTGAAAAGCATCAGCGCAATCACCTAAACTGAATTTGGCAAAATACCAAAGTGTAAAAAAATTCAGAAATTAGCAAAGAACGGAAAAAAAGAACACCTTGAGTGTATGTGTGGTTTTTTTTTTCCCCCAGCTCAGACCAAAATTTTTTAACGACCTGAGGCTTCTGTTTCTTAGTTATTGGCTTGCACAAGATATGTTTTCAAATGTATGGAGCTCAAGTAAAAAGTCATCCGACAAACAAATACTCCCGTACAGATACCTGGAAACATCAACTTTAATGGACTCTTCTATTGACGCAACATGCTGAAGAGTTCAATTCTTTGACGCTTGCCAACCCGAGAGACGCCGATTTCACACGATTCGAGGGAATTCACGTTTCGAGGTCACATTGTATTTGTTCACGAAACGGCCTTACCTGGCACTCTCAAGCGTGGCAGATGAAGTCTTCCCAATGGCCCCGAATCCAACTCCCACAGCTAAGCCCTCTGCAGAAAAGATCACCTTGAGTGTGACATACAGTATGCGTCGCCTGGGCCTCCTTTTAAGTTAATTACAATTTCTATCACCGTGTCACGAGAAAATATTCAAAAACAAGCACACAGCAGGAGGGCGACTTACAAATTAAAAAAAAATATATATAAATGCGCATGTTAATGAGCTAGGAATTAATTAGTGTGCACGGATATCTTAATCCATGCACTTGAGCAATATTTTATTTATTTATTTTTTTTTACGCATTCCCCCTATGAGCTGTCACTGTAGAAGGAAAACTATTTGTGGCACTTAGCATTTTTTTTTTTTTTTTTTTTACGCATTGCCCCTATGAGCTGTCACTGTAGAAGAAAAACTATTTATGGCATTTAAGGATCTGAACCTGCAGGCGCTTGAGACACAGAAAATAAAATCCTATTCATGACGCAGACAGATGCTTCACGAGAACGAGGATGGATGTTTAATTTCAGTCATGGAATATATTGCGATGTGGCCCACAGGGTGTTTGTTAAGTCATCAGCTTCATGTGATCGGACAATATAAATTGTGCACACTTTGAAAGGCGGCCATGTGAGAGTTCTTATTTTAACCCTTTCAGGGACAGTGGTTACTACAGTGAGGTTGTCATTATTTATGCACGATAGGGTTAAAATGAGAGATTTTTACAAGCTTATTTTGGCTGTTTTTGTTAGCGGGACCAATGCAAGCGAAAATGTCAGCAAAATGGAATTTTTAGTTTAGTTTTTTTTTTTTAAGGCACAGATGATACTTTTCGTCTTTTTTTTCTGAGTGCAATTGCCATGGTGGAGAGGCAAATCCCTCCTGCTTTGAGTTACTTGCAGTGCAGCAAGTCATCAAATAAGACCTTAGCATCTTGGATCACAAGAGCTTGGGGTAAGTACAGACATGGCAGATTTAACAGGCTTCCCCGCATCTAACGCCCGCTTGTTCTTGCTGAGATGTTCCTGTGGCTACGAATGACACATGAGGAGGCTGCAGCCCGCCGAAAGCAGTCAATAGTCTATTTAGGGGAGTGAAAATTGACAATTAATGTGACCTCGTGATGCAAAATTTACAACAGTAGCAGCTTGCACAAAAAATAAAAATAAAAAAACCAAAACGAAACAAAATTTTGCAGATGATAGCAGTAGTATTGTTTTTATATAGACCACAGTTTCTGAACAAATGGGTTAGTACGTACGGTTTACGGCCTTTACTGCCCTCCATAAGTATTGGGAACTCTGGATAAGATGTGTTGGTTTGCTTCTAATAAATTCATAAATTTTTGAAAATAATTTAGGAAAAAAAAAAAAAAAGATGAATCTCCACCCATTAATTCCGGACCAAATCTGGATGCTGATTAAAATGTGTTGAAACATTTAGGATGCAACTTTCGTAGCTGGAATGCCAAGTTATCTGAAAACATTCCCATCAACGTTTGCAAGTTTGTTTCATTCGTGCGGTCCAAAAAAGTAATAAAACAGAAGGGAAGAAGGATTCACGGAGTTCAAAGGTTTGAGTATAGCAAAGGATCCATGCTGGAATTATTAATGCAGCGTCCATTCAGCCTAAAGCTACAGGTGAAAGAAAAAGCAAAGTCGAGACTAAAAAGGAGACAAATGAAAGATGAAAGCATCTGTGCACAGGCAACTTGTTGAGGAGACATCAGGATCCTCATCTGTGTGCAGCCGCAGCTATCCAAGAGCCTGAAGGGCCTCTTCATCATCATCCAACGGCTGTCGTTACCTCGGATAACGACACATTGGCTCCAATCTATTCCCCACTGTCCATACACGCAGACATAATGAAGAACCCTCCTGGGCGGGGGGCAGGGAGCACTCTTCACTCGCACTCAATTCTCGGGATCCGTCTGAAATGCCACAGGGCCCTCGAAACTCTATTTGCACTTTCACACTAAGTTTGACGATACATTAACAAGCTTTAGTGTCTGCTGTAAAACTGAACATATCTTTTTTTTTTTTTTTTAATCTGATCTCTAAAGTTGAATGGCCCTGAAGGAATACTATTCAAACGTGCAAATCTAAAGTCGTAACACCTCATTAGTTGACTTCCGGCGGAAGGAAGCATCTTAAAGTGAAAGTCATAACATAATGATGATGACCACAGAGCTGTACAGAAATTTGGCACAGCTTAGCATAGTCAGCTTTGTCACTTAAATCAGTCGTCTTGTCAGATGTGTCCGGAATTTCCTAGTACAAATGGAAAACAGTCGGAGGACGCCTATCTGGCTAAGTAAAGGTCAAATAAATAAAAAAAAAACAACTTGTTGCGAAAACATATTTTGTCATTTTTCATGAAAAAAAAAAATGATATTGATCAAGTATTTCCTTCTGATAGATTGGAAGAGCATTTAGGCCTCGCCGTCGCTGATACAAAGCAGCAAACCTCTCCTCCTACTGATTGTTGTCACTGCCAAGTTCACACTTCCGCACCTCGCCTACATTCCCGTCTGACAGTGCGTTTGAACAAATCTATGTCAGGAGAAAAAGGGGTTCGACAATCTGACGGGAGGGAAAAAAGGTTTTATTCTGAACATGTGCCCCTGTATGTAAAATCATCATCACATGACCACCGAGTAAGGCATGTACCGCCGCATCAAATGAATCACTCTCTTTCCTGCCAGTTTGAAGCCACTCAGCGGGGCAGTGAAAACATCATTTGCATCAAGAAAAAAAAAAAAAGTAGTTAAAATAGTGGTAGGTGCAGTGTGAAATGACAGCTGCAAGAGGTCCGCCTCCGAGGTCTGCCTTACGTGCGATTGTGTTGTTTAATTGCACTTCAAATCCATGACTGGAGTCGAGTTAGTTTCTTCGAAATATCGATTTGTCTTAAGGTTGCTGATTTCTAACACACACATCCCATTTGCAAACAGACTTTCATGTCCTCGCCGAACGGTTTGTTCTCACCTGGAATGTTGTGAATAGTGATGGCGAGGATGAGGAGAAGGATGCGTCTCCAGCTGCTTCCTGAATGGCCAGTCAGTTCCGGATGTGCGCTTCCTGTTTCTTGGTCATTGGAGCTACCCCATTGAGAGACTCTCTTCCTCGGAAGTTGAAGGCCCTCCTCTGTTTTAATGGGGAAAACCAAAAAGAGAATAAAAACTAAACATGAAATCAATCTAGGGTGAAAAAACGAATATTGAAGACAGGGGAGGCTCTGATCACTAGTAGAATACAAATAAGCAACATTGAGCTGTTTCAAAAAAAAAACAAAAAACCGGCAGCTCAAATTCCAAACAATGCAAACACTATTGGCAATCTATTTAAAACAAAAAGGAAATGCACAGTCATGCGTCGCTGCTTTTAACACTTGAATTCTAAGCTATGGCCATGCTGCCAGACACACTCCACTGCTTTAGAGATTACGCCACAAATTCTCGACGAAGCCTTAATTCCGAATGCAGTCAAAACGTTCGCCCATCCCGAAGGAATCAAACTCATTCTATGAGCAAATACAGCCAAGCAGCCGCCTGTTAGAGTAGCAACCTGTCATTTTGTATCCAATCTCGTTTCGAAGATTGTGAAGAGCTAAAAGACCTGGATGTGCTTTGAGCTCTGCACAATCTTGTCGACCCATCAAAACAAAGACGATGTGCGTCAGCTTCGTTCCCGGAGCTCCCGCCTTGTAGCTCACAAGTTGCCGCGTCTCGGCAATTTCCATATTCATCGTCGATCCGGATCTTGTTTGACAGCAAGACGATAGCAACAGTGCAACGTCAAGTCTCATCCTTGATCAATTTCATATCCTGTTCAGTGAGGCGTAATGCACGGGTGGCAGGATTGATATTCGTGTCATCAATCGGGGCGTTGTCCTTTCGATGCTTGTTCCTTGTGGCACAAATAATCCAGTTCCCAGCAACATAAGTTTACATATTTCCATTCAAATCTATTTGATGGCAAAATGACCTTTTTGGATCGCAACCTGAGAAGCCTGGTATCAATCATGTAAAAAGAAAACGGGTGGGGGGGGTTAGGCCAGCAGAGCTACCAAAACCAGAATAAAAGACGCATTCATTTGTTTTGACAACCACCATTCATCACATCTCATCATCAAGCAGTGGATCAGTGCACATCGGCAGCTGATAAAAGAGCCTGCCGGTCAAAGACGCGGGACACAAAGACGCACGGTTATATGGCGCTACAGCTCGTATATTATTGCAAAATGGAAAGTCAATAGACGCTGCAGTCGTCACATGAGCATTCGTGCATATCGAGCTCTGTAGCGTTCTCTTATTGTAAACATTCTTTTGAACAGGAAGAGAAAAGAGCTTTGCCATGGGGATTGTTGTTGCACTTTGGGAAGCTTGGAATTTTGATTTTGTGAAAAAGAACCAAATTCAAAGTGGGGATAGGTAAGCAAAAGTTAGGATCAACAAAGTTTTCTTGTTTTGGTTAAATTTAGTTGTTCCTCCAGAAGTATAAAGTGGTAACTCTACTTATGAAATTAATTGGTTGTGGAAGAAATGTCTGAAGTAGAAAATTTTGTAAGTAGAGACGTGTTTTCCATGTAAATGCCCTAATCCGTTCCAAGAGCCCCCAAAAATTCTGATAAAAATGTTTTCTAAAGCATAAAAATGCATCAAACTATGTAACAAATAAATGTTCCAATTAGATTATTTCAAATGAGATATAAATGAGAGTTGTGCATGATGTAAAAAAGAAAGAATAAAAATGGTCATTTAACTTTTAACTCATCATTTTTTGCCCTCTCTAGTTCATGTTCTCTCTCCGAAGTGGTTTTTGTCTGGCGTTTTGTAAAGAACTGATCCAAAGACGTTTGCTTTTGTCGGCTTTTAACAATCCTTTGAAAATGTCCAAGGCAAATATCAGCATAGTGAGCGATTGCCCACTTTATCAGAAAGTCTGACAACGTGCTGAGGGCATGTGCAATCGGGAGGACATGCTGGGAGGGCCTAGCGTCAGTCTCCTCCCGGTAATGGTGAACCTTGCTTTGTTCACCAAGTGACTGTCGGGTTGGAAGGGAGAAAAAACAAAACAAAACAAAAAAAAAACGCGAGGGTCGACCCCAAACTGTTCCCACAATGGTGCAAAAGTACAACTGTCTTAGTGAGCTGAAGAAATAAGATCTAGTGGGAAACTAATGGGTCTAGCCCAGTCACGCAACAGTGAGAAATACGAAAAGAGACAAAAGGAATGGAGATGTGCCAAAGTCTGAGTAAGCGTTTCTGATCAAATGTGCAAGGGCAAAGCAGCAAAGCCACTGGCAACTACTTCTTCGCATTAAAAATCCACAAATTGAGTGTTGCTTTCGGAAAGACAAAGGAGCCCTGCTCCTGTTAGGATAGGAAGCTCAGCTGGGTAAAGTTTGGCCCATGCTGTAGCTGAAGGGTCATTTGTTCACATTGGTCTCTTTTCTTAGACCCAACTGATTTTTTTTTTTTTTTTTTTTAACTACTGTGCATCTCCATCCAAAGTCACACAATGGGGTATGTACATTTTTATTCTGGTAGCTACTGCCTTAAAAGAAACCTCAACTGCAATGTTTGCTCTAGATAATTAATTTTGTTGTGAGTAACATGACAAGATATTTGTAAAACATAATTTCCACTTTAATACATTTTGTAGAAACTTTTTATTTGCTGATACGCCACACGCCTTAAATGTGCCTGAGGTAAAATGACGAGAGCATGGTTTTGTAGAGGTCAGTGGTGATATTTTTTGAGACACCTTTGTTGTCATGGTTCGGGGTTCTTGTAAAACCCATCAGCATAATCGTGGGTAATCGCTCGGGAAGCATTCAGACTAATGAAACATGTATTCTGATTATTCTACTTCGATGATCCCTAACGACGCAATTTGATTTGAACTGAATTTGACAATTTCATTCGGAAAAAAATACAATTTGTAAACAGATTCAACAACGAAAAAAAGTCATTTTATCTTAACCTCATTTTTAAACCCAAGAAGATGAATGTTGGTCACCGCGCAGCAGTGATGCTATTTCACAGCATAGCGGAGGGACGAAATAATCCAGATTTCAATGTATCGTCACAAACTAACAAAGAATAATCAATCTTTGCCGCCGCTGCAGCGCCGATTTTCATGATGTGAAAATCGGTCAACTGCATGATGTTTTTTTTTTTCTTCTGAAAGAGGAACAAGTGAAAATTCCTGTTGTTGACAATAATTGCTTTGCATTAATACCTGCTGGAGAGGTTTATAGCCTTTGCGTAATTAGCAATTTCGGGGAAAAGAGGACAGAGAGAAACGGACTCACCCCTTTTGTTCCATTTGAAAAACGGCAATTAGTCTCTTTCAGCCTCATCCATCACAATTAGGGTAGGGGGCACACAACATTTCAAAACATGACGGCGTGCGTTGAAAAGGCTCTAATTTCAAAGCATTAAAGCCTTGCCGTTTTCACTGAATTCATAAAACAAAATAAAGCTGCCTACCAACCACTGCTAAATCCTAAAGAACGCACGCGCAGATCACAAATCCGTGACTAACTCTGATAATTGTTGTATTTTATCTCATTTCTCTGCAAGCCACTCTGAAGGCTGAAAGTTTACAGAATGTGACTTGATGTATTGTACCCGCAACGTCGACTGTTGAACTATATCAACAGCACTCACCGACGACCAAATGGGGTCCCAAGTGACACACCAGCTGCTTTTGTGAGAGACAGACGGTGACAAAATGACAAGTATGAAGAGGGGAACTAACGCTGACAGTGAACGCCCAATCCTACATGTGCTGATCTTGGTAGGTGAAACGAAGCAGTGACATACACGTACCTCTCCTCGTTGATGATATTGTGGGAAAATAAGAGTTGAGTAAGGGCTGGAAGGTTCCTATTACCCCATCATGACCAAGTGCTGCAATTGGGTCGATGCGCATGTGCACAGCAGCTCAAAAAACAAAATGCAGAGCAGTCGAACTATTAAGTTCGACTGTATTGCACAAAGTTTTCTTCAACTTTTTGACTTTTTTGTTTTTTGTTCCATGGATAGATGAAAAATAAAAACAAAATTATGGTATCATATTTTCCGGATTATAAATCGCTCCGGCGTATCGATCGCATCAGCCCTAAAATGCATAATAAAGAAGAAAAAAAAAAACATAAGTCGCATTTTTCGAGGAAATGTATTTGATAATATCCAACACCAAGAACACAGGTGCCATCTTGAAAGGCAATTTAAACTTAAAATAAAATCGAGAACAACAGGCCGAATTCGCTTAAAATATGCTAACGCTACATGACGCATCAACAACGAACTGAGAACCTGCCAGGTATGTTCACGTAACATTAACAGTTATTCACATAACGATAGTGTGAATCGCTAAATCCAATGAAATCTTTATCCTCCGTGTCACTTTCAAAACTCTGCCAACTCCGGGAGGGAGAAGATGCGCCGCTTCCTCTACTACATCGCTTACGTCAGACTCATCATTGAGTTATCAACACAGGCCTAAGAGTGCCCCCTTGCGGTTTAATGTGAAAATTACATGTAAACATGATGTAATAATGTTTTAATAATTTCATACATAAGTCGCTTCAGACTTTAAGTCGCACCCCCGGCCAAAGTCTGAATAAAACTGACTTATAGTCCGGAAAATACAGTAAGCTACAATATTAAGAAATATTTTTTTAACAAATTATTTTGAAAGGAATAAGAGGTGGAAAAGCAAGTAATTAAAGTGTTGTGGAAGACTCACGGTTATTGAACCTTCTGCACAGTGTCTTGCTCTTTAGTATTGCATTTAATATGCTAGTACACATTCTATCCAACTGGGAGGGTTCAGATTCTGGGCAAAGCCGCAGCACCGCTGGGATCTTTGATTTGTTAAGTTGTAAAATCAAATTTTCCTCACAGGAAATTATGGAATTCCAGATTGAAGTAATTTCAGGGGTACACTGCTGGCATACAAAAAAAAAAAAAAAAAAAAAACACCACTTCACAGAGTACAAAAAAAAAACGACGACTTAGCCGTGTGACATTCAATGGTCATATTCAACTGAAACAACGAATCCTTTCCATGCTCGTGCTCGACTTTAAAGGTTCCACTTGAAGCAGCCACCTAAATCAATAAGTTGATCAACGATCCAAAACAGGCAAATTAGAAAATCAAATTTTCCTCACAGGAAATTATGGAATTCGAGATTGAAGTAATTTCAGGGGTAAACTGCTGGCATACAAAAAAAAAACAAAAACAAAAAAAATAAAACACCACTTCACAGAGGACAAAAAAAAAAAGCACAACTCACTCGCATGTACACAGCGTTGTTTTTCTTTGAACGCAGTCGACGACTTAGCCGTGTGACATTCAATGGTCATATTCAACTGAAACAACGAATCCTTTCCATGCTCGTGCTCGACTTTAAAGGTTCCACTTGAAGCAGCGTGAAATCATCCACCTAAATCAATAAGTTAATCAACGATCCAAATAAACATAAACGGAGTCCTACAATGACTCTTGTAGTTAATTATACCGAGTGAATTAAGTAGATTACCATGTATCAGATATTGAATATATTTTTGGGGCCTAAGAGCCTCTAAAAAGAAGGGAAAAAAATCAATTGAAATAAAAAGATAAAAAGGCATTTGGATGACAGTTTTAGGCAATACAAACCATCCACATTCATATACCACACATTTCCGAAAGGACATTACTGGCTATTTGGTTATTCTTCTGTGATGGCTGAAAAAAGATGTGAGTTTTGACAGAAAACCTATAAATGACCAAAACAACATCCTTAAGTTAGAAAAATAAGGAAAGCTCCACCACCAATGATCTTGCCATCATTTAGACACACAAAGAAGCTTCCAAAATGCAAAAGATCCCAAAGGAGGATTGAACCTGAGAAATGGAGGAGTGCAATCTTAGTTGAACCACTTGCAGGTGTATAATACGAATAATTATGAGGGTCTTTTTTTTTCTTTTTGTGAAAAGTAGGAAATAATAGATTGGAGGCATACTCAGCAGGAAAAAATAGATTGGAGGCATACTCAGCAGGAAAAAATAGATTGGAGGCATACTCAGCAGGAAAAAATAGATTGGAGGCATACTCAGCAGGAAAAAATAGATTGGAGGCATACTCAGCAGGAAAAAATAGATTGGAGGCATACTCTGAAGAAGGCAGGTGAATCAAAATGACAATCGATGATCAAACAGCTTTTGAGGACAAAAATGTCGGGGCCATAGGTAAAATTCGAGGGGGGAAAAAAAAACAGAATACTTTGCCAGAAAGCACAACCGGAATCTGCAGAGTTTTTGGACAGACGAAACCAACGTCAACATGGGAAGACCCATTGGGAAAGAACGGCGCAATTCGGAAACGCAAAGCATACCGTATTTTCCATGTTATAAATGGCAGTTTCTTTTTTTCTTTTTCATAGTTTGGCCGGGGGTGCAACTTCTCACTTTAAATTATTAATACACTATAATAGCATTTCCTATTATTTTCACATTACAGCTTTTGAGGACAAAAATGTCGGGGCCATAGGTCAAATTCAAGGGGAGAAAAAAAACTGAATACTTTGCCAGAAAGCACAACCGTAATCTGCAGAGTTTTTGGACAGACGAAACCAACGTCAACACGGGAAGACCCATTGGGAAAGAACGGCGCAGTTCGGAAACGCAAAGCATACCGTATTTTCCATATTATAAATTGCAGTTTCTTTTTTTCTTTTTCATAGTTTGGCCGGGGGTGCAACTTCTCACTTTAAATTATTAATACACTATAATAGCATTTCCTATTATTTTCACATTAAACTGCAAGAGGGCGCTCTAGTGTTGATAAGTCAACAATGAGACGTTAGCGACATGGGGTGGGGGGGTATTTGCGTCTTTATTGTGATTATAGCAAAAAGAATCATCAGCACTTGTTGCAATCACCTGCGGCAGGCTAGCATTTGGCTTGATTTTGCGGCGCAGGTGGCAACTCAGCGAGGTGCCTTTGAGCGGACCATTAGGCGGCGGATATTTGCAACAGCTCTGTCTGAACACTCAGACTCAATTCAGGGTTTAAATGGAGCCCCATGAAAAGGGGATGTTAACGGGAGAGTTTAAAGAATAAAAAACATGGAGGAACAGTGGTTTACATTTAAATCTAAATAATTGATCGGAATGGTCACTGAAAAGGCAGCAAGCAGTCCTACAATGTAAAACTTGGTGGAACGTCCATCTGCGCATGTGAACCACCCAAGTTGGTTGTTTAGCCCATAATTCAGGTTTCAATAATAATGTGTTTTCATCCCTAATGTGCATGACCAGAAACAGATTCAAGGTTTTTGTATCAGAAGAAAAAGGGTCACATTAATGGTGGGAAAGGTTTTAAATAATTAATCTTCGTCTTATCTGAAAAGGGGTGATTAGTCTTTTCATATCCACAGTAACTTCCTTCAACATTCTCAGTTGTTTGGCATTTTATATTATATTTATAGCTATGACGTTTCAGGAAAAAAAATAACTAACCTGATGCTGAACCTAACCCTTAATTCATAAATATAACTAAATACATTCATAGATTACATGTTATTTTAGTGTTCTTTTTATGTTATTATTATTCCGAGAACCTGATGTGCTAGAGAGTTAAAAAAAAAAAAAAAAAGTGTAGATTCAGTATCAGCGCAAAAAAAAAAAAAAAATCTAGAAAATTTTAATTGCATCACACACACACACACACTTTGTATATCTTTACTTTGTTGAGAAATGTCTTTTGTGCTTTTGTTTGTCTGGCAAATGCTTTTAAATGATGTACGTTTCATAATGTGAAGTTACCTTGTGTTTGAAATGCACTATAAATAAAGCTGCCTTGCTTTCCCTGAATGCCTGACGTTATAATAATGCGACACTGTATGTAATATGCATGAGAAACTGAAAGCCAAAAGCCCATTAGGGACAACTCCAATGTTAGGACACCAAATCAGGATGGGTTAGGAGCGCACAAACACAAAGATCAGAAAAGTTACCATATTTAGGGAAAGAAGCCATCCCAGAAGACTGTGACAAATGTTTTCAAGGTGACAATGCACTTTTTTAGCGGGTGGGTATATGACGGGTGGCTTGCCTGTCGGAGGTCTTGCTCTACCTAACTTGACGGCTTGAGATTCAGAAAATGGATGAAGCTGCTCCTCCTCTTTCTCTTTGACGATCTTGGATTCCGAAGCAAGGGCCAAGGCGATGTTGGGGTCGGCAGACACACCCTGTGGACAAACGAAAATGGACATTGAAGATGAACATGATTTTTGTCTCAGTCGCGACGGTTTGTTTGTGGCTCGCTGGTCATTGCATTGGCAAGGAGCAACGAAGCACAAGAGAAGACTGAAGTCATGAATGTCAGACAAAGGAAGAAAAACAGGAGATTACGTTCAGGCACGAAGCAATGGGTGCGCAGGGGAATTGCATATGTTCTTTCAGCCATGCAAACAGATTTTCAACATTGTGTCCTTCAACGCTGTGGGTTATTTGAAATATGTTGAGGCACACAAGATGACCCGTTCACGGAATAATCAAATATTAATCATCTTATTCCATCCAGTACATACTGTACAGCTTTATTTGGGCACCCAATCCCACTGTATAAGCTCAAGCTATTCACATGATTGTGGTCCCGTGTGTACTCGTATGCGTCAGCCATTTTCTAAAGGGGAGAATTAATGGCACAAAATGGCCGCCTTCTGGAGTGACCTGTAGAACAATCTTATCGTCTGGTCCAATCTTACCATTAACAACGTGGCAAATTTCAAATGCCTTTGGTCTTAATGCGGGATACACCTTGGACTGGTAATGAGTCCCGCCTTGTTATTCACCCAAAACAGGACATTGTAAAGCATCATATTTTCATACCAGTGATTTGTGAAATAGCCACCAAACAATACGAGACTCCTTTTGTATTGCCACTTTGCCAGACCTCTATTTGATGTTCAAAAAGCTCTTTTTAAACAACAATTTTATCCACTGACAAAGTAATTTGAAAACGGCACCTTCCTTTCTGACTTGCTGGTCATTTGAACCTAACGACAAACTAGGATGGAACAGACCTTCCTACATCAGCCCAAATGGAGAAGGACAGCTCACAATGACAGTGATTGCATTCAATACGCTGCATCAAATTATCGCATTTAAAAAAAAAAAAAAAAAACAATTTGAATGCTGATGCGTGCTTTGTTTCCTTTGGAAAATTAGTAGTTGCCCTGCCCCTTTATTCGCTGGTAAACAAAGTAGCTGGTAAGAGTGGCTGTATGGTAAAATAATGTCATGGCCTTGCATTTGCCTCTGCGTGTCTTGCGAAAGCTTGACAGGACAGAATTACGCAACTACAATGGTTAGGAAGAGAACAGAATTCTTCTTTTCCCGATAAAAATGGCCAGTAAAAAAAGTTATAGTCCCATAGAATAGAGAGAAAGTCATGCGACTAGGAGGTGCACTTTTTTTCTCCAATTGCTGGCTGTTTCGTAAAATGCTCCAAAAACAAACGCACATTTTTTTCTGAACTTTTACGAGACTGAATAGCAGCGATCTTAACCGCAGCAACTGTTTGTACATCTGTGGTGTTTATAAGCCAATCAGGTAGCGGTTAAGCGATGACCGCTTCCCCGTACTGTCCAACAACTCACGACACGCAAAGCAGCACGCAGCCTCTTTCGCTCAACTTTAATGGCAAAGAGTTCAAGTCGTATAACAAAAATAAAGCAAATCAAATATTTCAAACCATCAGCGGTTTCTCTCTCTGTCCTGTTGACTGACCTTCAGACCTTCACACACCCACCACGCGCTAAACCACATTTCAGAAGCCACGTCCTTTTTTTTTTTTTTTTTTAATCAATCATTTAAGATGGACTCATCATTGATGACAGCATGATTCCGTGCGCGCGTGTGTGTATGAGTCTGTGGGCATGGCAAATGGTGATGCAAATGACACCCCGCCAGGTATTAAAAGATGCCCGGCTCTTAATTAATGCGCTGACATTTTCAGCGCGCACAGGTGCACACACACGTGTGCGATAGGGTGGAAATCCTGTTGACATCAACATGGGGGCGATGGTGACAATTATGACGTTAAAGCGGGATCCTAAAAAGTGATTGATTATAAGATACAGTATAAGAGCTTTCGCAAACAGTTAATTGTTAAATCGTGAGAAGAGACAGAGAAGATGATTTCAGTACGTTTCTCTTTGGTGGTGTGCCGTGAGATTTTTTTTAATTCGGCTCAATACACACTCGAAATACAGTTGGGTCAAAAAGGACCAATTTTTGGGGTCATTTTCTGCAAACCAACCCCTTTTTTTTTAATTGGTTGATGTTGACCTGAGTGACAAGTCAGCCCGTTTTGATGCAAATTGGGTTATTTTTAACCCAGCTGTTTTAAGAGTCCAGGTTGAGAAACACTGCACGAAAGCACCTTTTAAAGCAAGCAGCTAGTACAGAATCGTGGAGGGCACGGAAGTAACCGAAAAACACTGTCGCGCAATTTGGCAACAATTTATTGGCTGGCGACCGCTGATGGATCAACAGAAAAAAAAAAAGAACGGGAATAAAAACGGTTTTGTACGCAAAAATACCCAAGTCCACTTTACGACAAACTTGACTATTTTTGACATGTCGACTGCTAACTGTTTGTTTCAAAATGTGTCGCTCGGCAACCAATAGAGAGATGTTTTATCACGCTATCGCTTCAGCAAACATCTCCGTTGGCCACTTAAACTGCCCTCCAATAAAGATGTTTTATCACTACATGGTTTCAGCAAATATTCCCCTTGGCCACTTACACCGTCCTTTTAACACTTTTAACACTCGCTTTGTTTTCGAGATGACGAAAGACTACAAGACAGCGAAGGCAACAACAACCTTGGATAACGAACGTAGCACAACCTTGTAAGTCAACTTGAGTGTGTGTTCAACATCCAATTAAAAAAAAATGCTTATCACACCTTGTTTTATAACACCATGTTTCAGCAATTATCTTTATTAGTCCCTGAAACACGTGCCAACGCTGTCGAATAACAGTTCTTGTGGTGCTGACTCAGGAATAAATAAATGAATAAATAAATAAATCACAGCTTGGAATGGATTGCAACATCTAGCAGCGACGTGTCTTTTCCATACTAAAAATCTTGATTCACCAGTTCAATTGCTAAAAGAAAGAAACTATGTGAATAAAAGTGAACGAGAAATCTGTGGTGGGGGAAAGACAAGTGGACAGACGGGGGGTGGAGGGTGGGGGATGCTGACAAAAGATGAAAACAAAAACAATGCTCCTGTTGAGAACAATTACCAGACGTGAGTACGGGATGAAATCCAAGTACAGTCTTGAAGCGCACACAAATGAACTGAGCCAAACACACGCCAGGAAAAGGCTGGCAAGGTTAATTCGAGGCATACCGGCAGGAATTCATGATTGACGATAAAGGCTGCGCGCTTGGATGCAACAACGAATCTTAATAATTCTGACTACAGAAAATAGAGGACTGAGTGTTTTTTTTTTGTTTTTTTTTAAATCACGTATGAATTCACCTTTGAGCCTTTATGGATGGTAGCTATCTCACAAAGTCCTGATTAGACGGAAAGCAGGTACATGACGTGTTCATAAAAGGCCTTTAGACATTCGATCGTCAAAACACAAAAGTGATGAACTACAGGGTACTGAACTACGAATGGACAAATTGAAACGACTCTTTTCCTGTCTTCCTCATGGTCAAAACCAAAGAACCAACGCAAGGACACGACATTTCACCCGACATAGCACGACGAGCAAACATTCTGACATGGCAGACTTTTGTCGTCGTGGTCATGAAGCATCAAAGCGCCCTCGATGCCTCACGACCAATCATTGAGTTTGTCGCTCGACATGGGCTACGACCTGTCAAGTCGCCACAAAAATCGACCATGAGAACCTACATGTGTCCGTGACACGTCTGCCTGCTCAAAATCGGGCTACATTTGTGTATGCCGACGTCGGCATTAGCTGAAGGGGTTATCGCTTTGTCTTTGAAAAGTCACAACTTTTGATGACATTTACGGTTTGAAAAGCACGACCATCGAACCAGTAACCCTTTAACTCATTAAATGTTATTTTTTTTCCCCTCCGGATAGCGTCCCAGTACTGTTAGAAACATATGGAGACCGGAAACTTGTACTCTGCGTCAAGTTGAGACTATTCGCCAAGCATATAGTCCAGTCGTTGCACAGATCAGGGGTCAAACGCAGCTCGCATATATTATTTATGAAATTATCTAGGTCCAGGTGTTGTCTTTTAACTGTCATTTTGTTATTTGTATGAGCCAGTCTGCTGATTTCCGAGTGGGTATGAAACGGGTTTGTTTTGAAATGCAGCAACGGCAAAGACTTAATAACACGAGCCATTTTTCCATTTTTCAAATGTAATTATCTGCCTCTGTTGATTATAATGCGGAGAAGGCTGCTCTGCTCACAAGATGGCTGTCCATTTATTCTGTTGCATTATTGTGCTGTCACAAGGCATTCCTTATAACCCCCACGAAAGTAAAATTATGTTTTTATTGCCAGGGGAAGATGTGACGCATGTTGATCCTGACAGATCCCACTTTTGTTCCCCCGCCGTCCCCCCGCCGCGCCAGATTGATCCCATTTTGTCAAAGCACTCACTTCATTTCCTCCACACTCTTTGTTTACACGACCGTTTTCAGACAAACATCGAACCATTTGGATTCGACTAAAATGAGCGGCCAACTGCATTACTCAATAAAATTGATCGATTCGAGCAAAATATACTTTCTCCTTCAAGTATGCATATCTTGACATGAAACTGTACTTTACATCACTGACCCAAACATTATACAATTGATAACTACTATTCATGGGTTCAAAGACCTAGTGTGAATTTTGCACTTCAGTGCCTTGTTAGAGAAGAGCAATTTCTGCAAAAAGTCCAGAAAAGCTGAACAGTGCATGCATTCAAAAGTTTCAAGAAGGTCAAATCAAGCCCACCAGTAAAGGTTGTAGCTTGATTGTCAAATTTCGTCTAGGAAGAAAAAAAAAAAAAGAAAAATCCATAACATGTTGCACTGCATATTGTTTTGTTTTCATTTTGTTATGCAAAAAGGAATTTTATGACTCTAATTGTGCCATTTTATACATTTTCACACCGTTTCATGTCTAACTAAAAACAAAAAAAAAAAGTGTGTTCCGCCAATGATCGGGGCAAAGGCTAAAACGAAGATAGCCA